GTGGAACCTGACATACCAAGAATGTTTTATCATCTACTAGGATTCTCCCCTGAAATTAGTCTCAAGATGCTCTGAGGAGCCAAAAGATCCTCTGTGCCACAGGAGGGGATCCTGCCGGAAGCAAGGGTAAGATTGAAGAGACTTCAAGGACCCTGCTTCAATTTCACTGAAGCATCCATGCTTAGCTGTTTCATAAATTAACCTTTTGCTTAAGATTTCGTACACAAGCGGTTCCGAATTCTGAAAGACATAGAATTTGCTTCCAGACTTTATGATTCCCATTTTTGACAGTTAAAATCAATGTCTGTGCAGCTACTTATAAGAAAGCTGTTGTATTCAACATACTTTGAGATTGTTTTTGTAAGAAATGAATCTTTTCAGAAATTCTCTTAATTTTCACTTTCTTCTTTTCATGTTTTTGGATCATTTAAATTTCTAAAACTATGAATCAGTTACTTTCAAAAACAGAAACAAAACATTAAAATAATGCAAATTTAGGAAAAAAATGACATTTCTCTTTTTTAAAAAATGTTTCTCTTAGTCAAAAGGTAATTCTGGAAAGGGGATAATTTTTTTTTCCAAATGAGACACTTTAGATAGTTTTAGGAGACATGATTAATTATTAATCTGAGTCACCGGAAGTAAACTTAATTGTTCCAAGAAAAAAAGGAATGTATATTATTCCCAATGATAGAAGATGCTGAATGAGGGGACCATCAGGAAGCAACAGTGTTCTTGATTTGACCATGCACACTGCGGCAACAGACAGGAGACCCGCAGCATCAGCCTTCTCATCTACAATTTCAATTTGGTTGAAATCCACATAAGTGGGAGGCACAGAAAACTGTTCTCTACTCCATCAGCCCTATTTAGTATGAATGACTGAAAATTATAGTGAGAGAGTTAATTACAGCAGTTTGGCTAATTGAAAGCTTTCTCAAACTAATGAATCTGGCTTGACAGAATGCACTGATGTTCAGCTGTCAGAACAGGCTCAGGTAGGAGACAGAACAGATGATGCTGTGGTGTTTCCGGACAGGAAAATAAAGTGATGTAATGAAGGGTAACAGTAAAGGACAGGAGAGAACTAAATCAGGATCAAGCATTTGTGAGTCAGATAAGGGGACTCTAAAGAAAAGAGTAACAAGATCTTGTCCTACAATAATGAATTCAGCAGCTCTTTGGTCCTGGATCCTAAGTGAAAACCTTTACACCACTGGAATTTTCTGGCAATACAAATTCATATGAATTCTCTGTCCAGAAAGAATCATGCTCATATCAGTTTGCCAGCCCATGCCAGAAAGATCATGTGACTAAAGGGTTGGCATTCTAAGTCCCATGAAATCAGCTGTCCTGAAAGGGAATGTGGCTTGGAGATGGAATGTTGAGGTCATGCTGTGTCCTGATCTAAGTTATTCCATACTGTGGGAAACAGTGGTTTTTCAGACTATAATGCCTTGAGAGACTCCATTTATAAGCAGCCTTTGAGTCTATTTGTAAGACAGAAGACGATTGTGAGCCTGAGTGAATGCATAAATAGCACCATCCATCCAGTACCACCTGTGCAACACAGACTGAAAAATGACTTATTCCTTAGAGTAGAAAAGGTGATACCTTATAAATTTGTCAGGGTGAATTGAGTCCTTCGGGATTAGTCATATGTCCAGGTCACAAGAGGAGCACATGGCTCAGTGAGCTTGTTTACATTATAAACAAGCTTGCAATAAGAAGTCATTCCCACAAACTGGATTATCTCCCAAATTGCTGCCATTGAAACCACCCTACCCTACCTTGTAAATGTATTGTTATTCAATAAATTCTGAAACTGAGGAAAGATGAAAGCATGTTCCTCTATGCTTCTGACATAGACAGGAAGTTCAACCATGTGGCGAATGATTTGGTCAACTATGGAATGAAACCCCAATAAAAACTAAGGACACTGAAGCTCTGATGGGCTTCCTGGATGATGAGACATATGAAGTGCCTTGTGGGTAATGGAGCATGAGGTCAGGGAAGGTTTGCATTTGGGGCCTTCCCCTACTTTGCCCTAAATAACTCTCCTTTTGAATCATATTTACCCATTATAAGAAAACTATAATAGTAAACATAGTGTTTTCCTAAGTTCATTCTATTTAGCAAATTACTGAGACAGGAAGGGTCATGGGACACTGAACTTGAAGATACTTGGTGGGAAATGGTCTGGAAACTAGTGAGCTTGTGGCTGGTTCTGAAGTAAGGGTTGTTTTTTGGGAGATTATTCCTTAACTTATGGGGTCTTCACATACTCTCGGTGTTTGGGTGACAGCAGAGTAGGACTGAGAATGAGGCAAAAATTAGCATATAAGAGAAATCAGACTGGAACCCCTTGCACCCACCCCGAGGCCCACTTGGAGCATAGCACATCCTATCAAGATCTATCAGATCCTACTACCAAGATCCCAATCTGCCAGGCATGGGTATCACTGAGCTTTTAAACTTTTCTCCTAGCTCTGGTTACTCTCTTCTTTGAAAGTGCTCTTTTCTTTAATAAACTGTCGGCTTCTGCCAGTGTTCATGGACCGCTGTCCAGTTTCATGTTCTAGGATACAAGAACCTAGACATCCCAGAGGATGCCTGCCAGACCCCAATATCTACCTCCAACAGTGATTGCTCCATTTACACTGAAGTCCTCAAGATTATCTGCAGTCTCAGATCTGTGAATATCTAAATACCCTATGCAGTCAAAAAAATCATACTTAAGATTTTTAAAAACCTTCATTCTCAAATAAGGTTATAATTATAACCTTTAAAGAGAATTGTTCTCCTAAACTAAAACTAAAAAAATTCTTTAAATATGAAGGAGGATCAAAGGTACAGATACAAAGATATATAGATATATGTGTATGGATTTATTGGGGGCTGTGTATGTGTGTGCGTGTATTAGCCCATTACCAGCCTAGGTGTGCTGAATAGCTTTAGCTGTCAATTTGACACTCCTGGATTGAGAGAGCCTCAATTGGGAAATTGGCTCCATTGGACTAGCCTGGGCCATGTCTGTGTGGCTAGTTATGTTATAGTCCCTAGGGAGGAACATATTACTATATTTATCCTGCTAGATGGACAAAGTATTAAACTACACTTAATACATATATTCATATCCATAGATGAGTGTTGCTCTCAACCCTCATCAGAGAAGCTTCTTTTTTCAGAAGTGATCAGTTAATCAATTAATATAGAGACTGACAACTGGTCAGTGTGTAGAGAACTGGGGACTGCAGAGTGATCAGCCCTAAATAGGACATCTATAACACGCACATACATGCACACACACACACACACACACACACACACACACACACACTCAGGGATGATCAAAGAGGGGCCAGAAAGATTGTAGAATGCAGAAGTAGTATAGGTCTTCTGTAAAATAACATTTCCTAGACATGACAAGACTGCTGCACACATGAACTCACAGTGGCTGTGACTATAGGCACAGGACCTGAACAAGATCAAGCCAGTCAAAATCCCAGAAAGGAGGGAGCAGAGGCCCATGAAATTCTACCCCAAGCTGAAAAGCTATTGAATTATGATGCTCTCTGGGGGAAGGGAGGGTGCCAGTTTGCTCCCAGGGATATGACCGTGCTCCAGTAGATGGTCCTATGCACAGCACTAAGAAGACTTGGTGGGATTAAAAAAGCATGTGAAGTTGGGAGAGAAAAGTGGTGGACATGGGGAGCATTGGAGGGGAGAGAGTGGGGGTATATTTGAACAAAACATATTATATGCATTATGAAATTCCCAAAGATTGTTTTTAAAGAATGGAAGCATTTTAAAAGTATAAATTCTTCCTCAGTCTCCAGACATGATGGTATATGCTTGTAATTCCTGTACTTGAAAGATAGAGCTAAGAGGATCAAGAGTTCAAGACCATGCTGAGCTACATAACAAATTCTAAATCAGCCTAGAATACATAAAACCCTGTCTCATACACATCTGGATTTATTATTGACTATGTATGTGTGTTCAAAGTCTTTTCTGAGTTTATCCTTATGACTCTAGCTTATTTCACTTAACATAATAAGATCTCTTGTTCAATCCTTTTTCATTCTTTGTGGCTGAATAAAACTCCACTACATATGATGTCACACATTGGTCATTCATTAGCCGAGGTTGACAGGCACCTCGGCTAATCAAGCATAGTATATGTGATATGGAAATCTTCCTTTTAGCATCTTGAGGTGCCTCCCTGATGATTTCCATGCTGGGTACACTAATTTGCATTCCCACTATCCATGTATAAAGGTCCCTCTGCCTGCCCTGCACCCTCGAAAATATTTCTTCCCATTTGTTTTCTTGATGATAGTCATTGTGACTGGGGTGAGATGGAGGCTCAGTGTAGCTTTGAAATATATCTCCCTAATGCCTGAACATGCTTAACACTTTTTCATGTGTGTATTTCTCATCTGCATTTCTCCCTTTGAAAAGTGTCTGTTCAATTCATTTTCCCATTTTCTGAATGGATTATTTACTTTGGGTTTAATTCTTCATATAATCTACATATTAATCCCCTGCCCATTGAACGGGTGACAAAGGCTTTCTTACACTCTATGGACGCTCTTCATTTTGTAATTTCTTTTCTTGTACAATTTCAATTTCATGCGATTTCATTTGCCTATTATTGGGGGGATTCCCTTCAGCTACGAGAGTCCTACTCAGAAAATCATTGCCTATGCTTAGATGTTGACATATTTTCCCTATGTTTTCCTACTCTTCTACACAAATATTTTAGAGTGCCTGTGGCACTTTAAAAGCCCATCTTATTTCTCCATGATTTAAAATTACATAGCATACTCTAACTAGAAAAACATTTTACTCTATTTGAATAATAAAGATAACAGAAGGCATGCATGTGTTGGAGGCAATTCATGGCTATGAAAGTTCAGACAAGGGTCAGTGGAAAGGAAACACTTTGAGTCTCCAAAATTGCAAACCTGAGACTAGTAATTCCAAAAAGCTGGTACCTGAAACATCAGTGGGGTGGTTGCAGAAGAAAAGTTCAGATTCTTCACCATGTGACTTTCAGGGTCATATTTTGACATAAATCCTTTGATTATGACTGTTTTGGCTGTTCCTTGTTCACCAATTAACAGGACAGCCTAAAATAAGAAAATGAAATAAAATGAGTAATATGGGTTGAATTGTGCCCCACTCACCCATCAATTCCAATGTTGAAGCCGTAAACGTCAGTGTCTCCCATTGTGACTGTATCTGTAGATAGGGACTCTAAAGAGGTGACTGGTAGGATGAACAGTTAGGGAGCACAACCTTGTGTGATTTGGCAACCTTATTAAAAGAAGAAACTTGTATCTACAGAAAAACACCAAAGATGAGTGCCCATGGAACAGCAAGACCACAGGAAGGGACGGGACGCGTCCTCTGCAAGCCCAGGAGAAAGGCCTGGGGAGAAACCAGCCCTCATAACGTTTTGATCTTGGACTTTCAGCTTCCAGAACTGAGGAAAAAATGGCTGACATTTAGAGCATTTAAGTTGGAGCTGGAGAGATGGGTCAGCATCTAAGAACATTTGCTGCCTTTGCAGAGGACCAGGGTTTGGTTTCCACCGTCCACCTCAGATGACTCAGCCGCTTGTAACCACACTTCCAGGGGATCTGACCCTTCTTCTGGCCTCCATGTGCAGTCAGGCATGTGGTGCATATACAAGCAGGCACACACATACACATAAGTAAAAGTAGATAAAATTTTAAAAAGTAATTTACAAAGTAACATTCAGACTTTGATGTTTTGTTATGATAGCCATAGCAAACTAGGTCAATAATCAAAAAGAAAGGAGTTCTCTTTGCAAAAATTCATCAAAATTCACTTCTCCCCACCAATACATGAGGAATATTTAATTACGAATTAGGACTATTGAATGCAGTAGACGGTCACTGCAGAATAACAAAAGTCACTGTACTCACATAGGTACTGTTTTCACTTTTCTGAACACTAAAAATAGTACTATAAAATAAATTCAGGATGCTTTTGTGTTTTCACATGACCTTTTAAAGTACACTATTTTAAATAAAAGTTTAAAAGCCATACCTTGCCTTGTTTAGCAATGGTTTTAATTAGGAAGTCAGTCCTCACGTTGTCAACATTTGGCACCAAGATAGAGCCGTACTCTGGGGTGGTGTCAGGTGGATAAACATATTCCTCTGTACAGGTACTCCAGTGAGTCCAGTTACCTGAGATGAACAGAGGGTATTCACACTTTCCTATCAACAGTGAACCTCCCTGTAAGGAGCAGGCTCCTCCAAAATGTCACAAGGGCACCTTCAAATACTCGCCAAAAAATAAAGCTCATTAAGGGGCTGCAGATGTAGAGCAGTTAGTTGGTTAAGTGTCTACCTAAGATTCATAAAACCCTGAGTTTGATCCCCAGCACCACATAAAATATAGTGTTCCTGATTTTTTCCTGTTGCTGTGATTAAAAAAAAAAAAAAAAACACTCTAGCCAACAGCAGCTTGGGGAGGAAACACTTATGCTTCCAGGACACAATCTATAGGAGGGAACTCAGGGCAGGAGCTTGAAGCCATGGAGGAACACGGCTGGCTGGATCATTCTCCATGCCTGGCTTATGCTTAGCTAGCTTTGTTACACAGCCCAGGACCACCTTCCAAAGAGGGTGCTGCCCACAATGGGCAATCAAGACAGTACCACACAGACATGCCTTCAGAACAATCTGACCTAGGAAAGTCCTCAGTGTAGGCTTTCCTCCCAGATGACTCCAGGGTCTGTGAACTTGGCCAGTAAAGCTAACAAGGGCACCAGTTATGACATGTGCCTGGAATCCCAGGACTTGGAAGGTGGACACAGAAGGCTCAGCAGTTCCAGGTTAACCTCAACTGCATAGCAAGTTGGAGGCCAGACTGAGGGCTCTGTAAAAGCCTGCATCCAAAACTCATCATCAAAATCACAGATCTCTATATACATCAGTTAGCTGGATCAGAATTTCTCAAGGACTACTCCAGAATAGATTTCTATTTGGACACATTAAGAATTGTTTTTGCATTATGTAGGTTTTCAACAATACACTAGGTGAAATAAAATCAGAACAGAGAGAGAATAACATATACCTGAAATCATTCATTATAAAATTATTTAAATATTTATTTTATGGGTATGAGTATTTTTCCTGCATGTATGTAAGTGTACCATGTGCACGCAATTCCCATGAAGGCCAGAAGAGGGCATTGAATACCACAGAACTGGAGTTATGGATGGTTGTGAGGTGCCATGTGGGAACTGGGAACAAAACCCACATCCTTTGCAAGAGCAGCCAATGCTCTTAACCTCTGAGCCATCTCTCCAGTCCCCATCAGTCATTTTTAAATGTTAAAACTCACAAGCTTTTCATTAGGGGAAAAATACTCGGATGCCACATGTATAAATACCTATGAAAATATAAAATAGTTTGGTGTATTAATTCATATATATGTCTGTGGTGCATGTATCTTATACATATGTAAGTCATTTTAAAGTATATTGATATGTACAGCTACCTTTATCAATAAGTATACAGTCTTATGAAGATATCAAAGTTCTGGTGAACTTGACATAAACCTAAACACACCTGGGAAGACTGAATCTCAATGAGAAATTTCCTCCACGAGATTGGCCTATGGGCATGTCTAGGGGTATTTTCTTAACTGTTAATTGATGTAGGCGGGCCCAGCCCTCTGTAGGCAGTGACATCCCTAGTTGATGGGCCTGGGCTCTATAACAACTGGCACCTGAGCAGGGTTCCTTCTGGGTCTCTGCTTCAGTTCCTGCCTCCAGGCTCCTGCCTTGAGCTCATGCCCAGGATTCCCTCAATGAAGCACTGTAACATGTAAGCTGAGATAAAGCTGTTTGCAAGCTGCTTTTTCCTCATGGTGCTTACCACAACAGGAAAGCAAATTAGAACAGCACCCCTATTTAACTAAAATATGTACTTCAGAATGTAATGTAAAGAATACTTCAGAAAAAAAGGCTTCAAAATGTAAAGCGAGTAAAATATATACTTCCATTTGTACATAGACTGCTGATTCCCTTGACTGTTGGCTTCCATGGATCTGATTAGGAAATCTTTTCAATTTGCCTTAAGTCACTAAAAGTTCAATGCACCATGCATTTAGCAAAACGGAAACTTGCATTTGAAACACAAAGTTTTGAAAATGAAACAATTACTTTCTTTGCATGCACATGAAGATTTCTATTTTAATCTTAGAGCCAGTGGTTTTAATTGGCACTTGGAATATATGAGAAGCACATTGGATACATGGCCCGGTCACCGTATCCTGAACTCAGGGCATGCTCACCGTCTGCTGCTACATAGTAGTCAAACACGGAGTCTCCAGGGTCAGCAGTAGGCTGCGGCAGGTCCAGCGTGGGCGTCTCTCGTGAGCGCAGCCAGAGCTCTAGCTTGCGGCGACCTTCCAATTCCAGCACAGCACCCACGCTCCACATCATTGCAAAGATGAACAGCCTCCCGAGGTGTTCCGGGTCCGCCTCCCCAGCCTGCTCCTGAGGATGCAAGAACGTTCTTCTAATTACTTGAGTCTCAAACCAAAATTCTACTCCACGAAAACCACAAACTTAGAAAAAAGATCATAGTTTTCACTCAACAAATTAGATGCGACTGAGGAACAAGCGAGGAGCTGATCTGGGCACCGCTGGTTTCTAAAACACATGAAGGAGGGTGGTGGTGGGTTAATGGACAAATGCACTTGTACCAAGCCTGACTCGTTACAGGACTATGTTAACCAGCCACAAAATTCAGTCCATGGCTTCTTTGCTCAAAGAAAGATAGGGGGAAAGGGGGGACATGTTTGAAACCTCTCCTCTCCCCCACCCCATTCCCACCAAACTTAGTTTCAAATACTGCGTTCTCTGCACAGCGTGCTCGGGAGGAAGGTGCCGCCCCTTACCTTTGGAGGAATCAGGCCTTGCAGCATGTGGATGCTTTGCGTGATCACAAAGGCCTCCAGCACCTCCATCTTGTACTCTAGGTTCTGAACACTGAAGCGGTACAAATCCGGGAAAGTCTCAGTGTACAGTTGGCGAAGGATTTCGGCCTCTTGAGGAGAACGTCTCTTGAGAAAGCCCTGTTGGCCCATGTTTGTGCATGAGTAAAACCTGCTATCACACCAGGAAAATACCACCGGGGATAAAAGTTTTTAAAGTATCAGTTAACAGTGGTCAGTGAACTTGAGATGCATCCGGCCTTGCTATAAACTCTTTCACGTATTAATTCACTTAAATCTTTGAAACAATTCTGAGATAGGAACTGTTGTTAATTATCCACCCTTGACTCCCCTGACGTCAGTAACCCACACAGAATCACACAGTTGGTAGGTGTCAAGGCCAGAATTCTCACTCAAAGTCTGGTGGCTGCATGTGCTTGAGTACCTACTCCACCACACATGCAAAGATACTCCTCAGTGGTCGATTAAAATATACCACAAGAAAATGAAACGTTCACCAGGAACTTGCTAAGCAGACCCAGGGAAATAAAGGATGAGCAAAGAAAATTCATACCCAGATTTTAAAATCAAGAAACAAAAATTTATCACAATTGTTTATTTCCAATAAACATTTTCTTAAAATGAATCAAGATCTCTTCAGGTCAAGAGATCAGTTCAGTCTTCAACTCAATTTCCCAAGAAATACTCAGGGCACAAAACAGAAACAGTAGAATCTTAATTATGAATAATTCATTAATTCACAGATTTACCATGATTCTACATCAACAAAAATGTCACACAGCACTTTGGAGTTGAGGGGACCATAAAATGCATGTCACCAGCTTGCCCATCTGAAGGTGAGAACATCTCATCACTGTCCTCTACTGTCCTGATTTCATATATATAAAACTTTTTTTATTGATTGATTTTTTGTCTGTGTAGTTCATACAGAACATCCCAAACAATCTTATTCATCTTTATACCTGCATCCCAAATGGCACCTTCCATAGGCTCCTCCTCTCCCCCTACTGGAGCCCATATACTCTGCCATCCCTGTTACTGTCCATTGTGTTCTCAGTGCCCCCAGCCATTCCCCAGTGCTTGTCCATCTGCTGAGTCTAGTCAGCTTATCTAGAGTCCCTTGTTTTAGGAAGATCAGCTCTTCCTCCTCTAGTTGCCAACATTACTTTAGATAAGATTGGGGTCTGCTGTTCATTTTCCCAGTTCTATGCTGGGTTACTGTCTGGGAGTTCCTTGGGCCACCCTGACCAACAACTCAAAGAAAGGTATCTCCTGTCTGGCATTGTTTCTTGTTATGTAGCGTTTAGCTATACATATGGACTCTTGAAGAAATATACTGATCACTTTAATCTTTGACTATACTTTCCTTTGGGTGTTGAAGACAATATAGTTGGCCCAAATAAACCAATTTATTTTTACTCTTAAGGATCTGTTCCTCAGGGGTCACATGGGCTTGGGAAGAGCCCCTGGCTCCTTTCTTTTTACCAGTTCCATTTATGTGAAGATAAGTCAAAGGTCCTGCTCAACCGTGGCTGGCTTCACTTGGA